AGGAGTCCAACAGCATTTCCTTTTATGTTTAAAAAATTGTGTTTTATTAATTCATTGAGAATTTCACTCAGTATAGTTTGATCATATACACAAGAGCCAATTTTTACCATTATTCAAATATATGTTTTCTGAATTAGAATCCTAAGAAGCCTTAAAAAGGTTAAGTTGGTCTTGGGAACACTTCATTATTTAAATGGCATTTCATCTTTCATTTTCAGTCTCCATCAGAGATTTCTTATTTGGGGGGAGAAGGAAAAAATAGAGTAGATAGATTTACGGAGGAGCCAACTGTCTGTGTGAACAAGTAGTCTAGGGTGAGGCTCCCTCTAAGTTCAGTGTGAAGTACACGCCCTGGAAGCTTTCACTTACATGATCTCAGTTTTGTTGCAATGAGGACCTGGAGCAAACTGTTTGAGATCTCTTAAGGACCTGTAGTGGATGGTGCCTCGGCTGGTGCTGATGCAGGAGCATCGCTGATTCCTTATGACTAGGGTTCCTGTGGGAAAGATAATGCACATGATTAGGTCTAGACCCATGCATTTGACTTAGTCATTACTGCTGTCCCTGAGTGTGTGTAAATCATCACCACAGAGTTTCACGGTAGGCATTATTTCCATTCTGTAAATGAGGAAGCCAGGGTTAAGGACAAAGTCATTTAGCAAAAGGGAACAGGGGAAGAATTTCAGTTTAGGTCACTCTGAGTCCACTACCTTACAATGCAACCTGAGAAGAACAGAAAGCTTCCACAATACTTAATTAAATCCCTACTGAAGTTAGGCATACATGTATAATCCATCTGTACCATGGGGACCAGTTCCTCAACCCATTTATTACCTGACCTCAGCGGCATGGAGTTAATGTAGGTATGGACAGAAAGTTCTACTTAAATAACTACCTACCACTTCAATACTTTCCCTTTCTCACCCCCACTCCTCATAATTGTCTTTGTCCCTTATAGTCACATAGACTCAGCATCTATTTGCATAGGTTTTTCTATTATACTTTAAAGATGTGGAAAGCACATTCTAGGAAGGGTATTTGTCCAAGGTAAATAGAGTCATGAATAAAAGGGCCAGAGGCAGCCTCTCTGATTTCTGAATTCTCAGTTGGTTAACCACAGACACACATATCAGTGCACAGTATCAGAAGAAGAGGATGCAGGAGACAACTTAGAAAATGATCTCTTATCTCACTACCAGTTGCCAATGCTACAGATTTCATACCTCGTATGATAAATGACAGACTCACGTGAAATGGAAATAAAGCACCCAGAAACTCTTTTGCATCTGAAAAGGGGTTTCTCATTAAATGTTCAGATATATTTTGAGCCCTCATTGGAAACCCACAATACACACACCAAGAAGGCATATTTGACTTGGCAGGTACAAATTATGACCTTTGGATAATCGCTCACAGCATCCAAATGCTTTGATGAGTGAGCAATATTACTTTTTATTGCATGCAAAACATTCTGCTGAACGAAGAAGGCTTTTTATAGTGATGCATATCTCAGAATTTACTAACTTAATACAATGCAAAACTCCTCACCTTGAACCCCACACTGGTCCAGGAGGATGATACCCAAGAGAAAAAGAACAGTTGACTTCATGGCAGAGCAGAGTTCTATTGAGTCACTGTGTTGGATTCAAGTCGGAGAACGTCTTTGGAGAACATGTTCCTGGGAATCATATTTATTTAGGAAGTCCCTTTTCCTTCTCATCTCTGATTGGCTGGTCTCCTCAGCTGACCTAGAAGATCTAAATTAACCACAGACTCGATTGTCCTGGGGAAAACCCTACTCTCAGATCCCAGGGAATTTCTGCATGTTTTATTTCCATTTCACATAAACGGGTAGTTTATAGGAAGTGATATGAAACCGCTAGTGCCTGCTTTTAGCACAGCCGGAGTTGCTACCTGGATGCAGAATGGATTATCTGCTGAGTATATATCAGTGCCCTACAATGAAGGTGGGAGGTGTGTCTCCCACAGGAGACATATTAAAGTGCAGGGAGGTGACTCCTTGGTATTCGTAGTGTACATATATCTGTACACTATATGGCTACATTAGGCTTTTCTCATATTTCTCAGACAACTTGAAGCTTGTTAATTTGTTGAGGGACTAGATTATTTTCTGCTTGTGGTGAATCCACTTTGTCTCATTGTTTCTACAGTTTACTAGCATTTTATTTGTTAGATTAGTTGCATAAGCCACAGCTGTTCCATTCCTTGCTACAGGTACCAAATATTTCACCAAGTGTCTGCATCACTGATGGCATGACTGTGAAATGAGAACATACATTAATGTGTGTATTTTCTAAGGATTTTAAAGAGGCTACAGATTTTAAACAGCATTCAACAGCAAATAATTAAAAAAAACAAAGTAGCTATTAGAATGTTCTGGCTGTTCAAAATTCTTGTAGCTGTTGAAACTAAAACTGGAGTTAGTATGACAATGAGAGAAATAATATCAAGTGTCCTCAGAGGATATCATTTTTCTGGGACAGGATGAGAGCTGGAAGAAAGAAAGAAAAAAAACTCAGGACAAAGGAACAAAGCCAAAAATGACCCTTTCAAAACAGGATCTGAGAAAAAGGAACAAAAAAAAAGTGCACATAGTGTTGGTGCTATATATAGTCCTTTGATACTCATTCAGACAATTAGAGTATAATGAAGCTACGTCGATTGCCTGACTGACCACTGGATAAGACTGGCAAAGCTATTAAATTCTTTCTTTTTGCTCTACTTCACACAGTTGTTAATTAAGATAGGACTGGCAAAAAGTACTAGAAACTTTTTGGCTCTACCACACACGATCATTGAGTACACTCATTAATAGGGAAAGATGTCAGCTAAGGATGAACTGTGCTGTAGTTGGGTATCATACATCTAGACTTTGTCTTCAAACAGACTACATCTAGACTTTCAATGCTTTATTTCCTTTAGAGATGACTGCACCAGGGTTTCAGTAAACTAGCTCATGTTGCTTCCTTTTAAACTCATCCTAGAAGAATACCATTGGAAAAAATGAACAACAGCATATAAATTACGTTTCCTCTCCTCTCTCTCCCACCTGCAACTCCCTTCGCTCTCTATCCATCGTCCCCTATGTCAGCTGGTTTGAATGAATGGTAGGCAGTTCTGGAGAGCCTTTAGTTACACAGGCAACACCCCAAGATATACCCTAGTCTTGGTAAAATAAAGACTAGACATATTCCTCGAATGAAAAGAAAGCCTTCTGATCAGTTTACCAACTTTTTCATTATGTACTCCCCCATAAAAGAGACTATGTAACGTAATTAACATTTTAAAATAATCAAAGTCAATAGCAAATTTCTCCCTACAGAGAGCAATGGAAAAATATATATATATATGCTATATACATATATTATATTAAAATGAATTTTATAAGGTTAGGTTGAACTAGTCATTGTAACACAGACTTCTTTTAAAAATAAGGTCAAGGTCTCACTCTGTACTCCAGGCTGGCTTTGAACATGCCATTCTTCTGCCTCAACCTTCAGTGATATTGGGGTTGTAGATCTGCATCTTGTTCCCCTGATAATGTCTATGAATTTTTTTAGCCTTCCCAGACTGATTGTTGTCCTTGGAGTAATTATTCTTCCCCTATCCCTAAGAAATGCATGTTTTAGAATAAGCAGATAGCATATTTGCATTTTATGTTACACGCTACACAATCTTTATTCCTTTCTCTGTGGATTAGTAATATCTAAATAAAAAATTACAAAAATCATTTTGAGAAGCACAGCTTGTGGTGACTTTTGACGCGTTTATCCATTGGTTATGCTTAGTCCTGGTAATGACTGGGACTGTGGTGGACCTGGGTTCAGGTACCAGTTTTACTACTTGGTGACTGTTGAGCATAAATATCTTCTGCTGGCCTTGGCTCTCTCACCCAAGAAAACAACGGCCAGTTTCACAAGTGGTTGTTAAAGATTAGTAGCAAGAACATACTGCCAGTGGGGAGCAGTCAAACAGAGATTTGTAGCTAGTCAAAGGGTAGAGACTTAGTGACTGCAGAGGGTTCTAAACAGGACATCTGTGTCACCTCTGCCCCCAGGTTCAGGGACTATCCCAGGGGAGGAGGTGCTAGAAAGAATGTTAGAGCCAGAGTTGGGGAGGAGTACTGCTCATTTTCTGAACGGGGACATCCCAATGCACGCAGGAACTCACCGCTACTGTGTTTACCTGCTCAGGACATGCAGAACTTCGGCAATCATTTCATCATACCTAGGGAGGGGCTCAGGAGGGTCCACCCTTAGTTTAATGTTTATGAGTCAGAAAAGAAATGAGTTCAAAGTAGGAAGGGCATTTCCGGGAAGAAGAATGGTTTCAGCAGGGATGAGAGAGGGCAATGGTGGGTGAAAATGCTTACAATTCAGTATGTGCATATATGAAACTGTCAAAGTGTATACAGAAAGAACGCGCTGCCAAACACAATCCCCAGGGAGCCGGTGGCTATTCTTTCTAGCAGAGCTAGCTGATGGAGACTTCTTAGAACAAGGCTCAGTGTGAGCTGTCTAGTTTACTCTTCCAGACACTAATTGCATCATTCTTTCTCAAGTCCCGATTCACTCACTGCTCGTGTCTTCTTCGCGTCTGTAATGTGACCACTCTGCATGCTTACCCCGCAGCGCAATAATTTTACCTTATTCAGCATCCCGACTTTGTGAATACGTCACTTAGCTCTACAAGCAGTCAGTCCCCTGTGGCCTGTCCTCATTGAGCCGATAGAGTAAGCAATGCTCCCAGGGTTCTCTATATTCTCTCCTATTAGGAGGAGGGTTTGCAAAGATCCGTGTTTGAACATGATGATAACCCAGCACCTCTCCCGGAAGAATGCTCTCGAAGTCTAGTACAGTAAATACTCAGTATAAATGTTCACAAGTGACAAGTAGGGCCCAGAGCCCAGTTGGGCAGATGTAACATCAGCCAAGGATTGAAATCTTGAGCCACAGATGCTGTGACCTCTTCTAGTGCAGCTATGCACAGTGCGCATGCTTAGCCAGTTTGCTTCCAGAACTTTCCTCCACTCGGAGTGCCCAACGCTCGCTCACTGTACGTGTGTCGCTGCTGGGGCTGCCTGCACTCATCTGCTGAAGAACAGAAGCACTTTAGGGAGGAAGGTAGTGTGTGCCCCGGGGCTCTCCCCTCAGTCCCCACTGTCGCGCAGCCTCCTAGTCTGAGGAGGCCATTTGTCCTGAGGAAGAAGAGGAGTGGAGGCTCCACTGGGAGGATTCCTGGGAGCCCCATGTGTGGCCTTCTCAGGAGCCTTGGTGGGGGTGGAGGGAACAATGGCTCCAGGAGCCCAGCTCATGGCATGGAGACCACAGAATATCCCTGGGAGGGCGGGGGTGACTGAGGTGACCCCGAGGAGCTGGTGCTGAGGTCGGCTAGAGCTCCTGAGCCCCTTAACCCAGGGTGTCCTGAGCCCCAGAGCCCCAGAGCCCCAGAGCCCCTGAGCTCCAGATGGTCTGATCCCCAGAGGCAGTGATCTCCAGAGCCCGGGGCTTCCTGCTGCCTTGCAAGGGCTCCTTCCTCACTAACAGCTGAGGAGGCCTCCTGAGCGGCGGGAATATCCTCCATGGTAAGGCTTGTCAGATTAGCCTGGGCCCTTAAGCATGAAGATAGACCATTTGAGTTCAGGCCTCTTGAGACGTTTGCTTCCCTTTTTTTTTTTTTTTTTTTTTTTTAACAAATTCATGCCAGTTTCCAGAGGAAGTGCAGGGCAGACTGGGAAGAAGAGAGAGTCCCACAGACTGCGTTTATGGATAGGTGGCTTTTTAGGAGAAATAGAAACCTGCTAAGTAAGACAGGATGTTGCTGGAGTTTCTCACAGGCCTGGGAAGAAAGCCAAGGATTATCAGGACTGTTGCAATCAACAGACAGTTCTTAATTTCCCCTTGGGCAACAACAACAACAACAAATTTTCCTCTTTTCCAAGTCCGAGTCCCTGAGGAACTCAATGGTGATGTAATCCCCAAGAGTCAGGCCCAGCAGGCTTGTTGGCGCTCTGTGTGAGTCATCAGGCCTCCCCTCCCACCTTTATAATGGGATTGTGTAGATCCATTTAAACAGGTTACCAGTGGACTACAGCAGTAAAGACTAGAGGAGCGCTTTGCTTGGGGGGGCGGGGCTCGTTTCTCTCAGATTGAAACTCATGTGCTTGTTTGAACATCACTCTATGTGTACTTCCGCTTCTCACCAGCTTCGGCTAGCATTCAAGGATCCTAACTTGAAAACGGTGGATTTCTCGAAAGTCCCCAGCTATGAGTTAGCATCCTGAGTTCTTTGTCCTCAGTCAGGGAGTCATTCTTTAAAAAAAAAAAAGAAGAGAGAGAAAAGAAAAGAAGAAAAAAAGGGAAAGAAAGAAAAGAAAAAACTGAAAAACGTTATCGCTAGCGAATCCTACTTTTTCCATATTTCAGGTCACTAACAAAAAGGAACAAATTCTTCCTTCATTAATCTTATTATCTTGGCTTCATGGTTTATGTCTAATAAAAGTCCCAGGGCTGGTTAGATTTGTGACTAGATAACGGTGAGAGATAACGCCTGGACATCTTTTCAAGGACAGATGTGACCCGGTGTTGGCAGCAGCACAGTTGTTTTGCCCTGTGACTTTCGGGGAGCCGGTCTGCAATCTGATGACATAATCACAAAAAGCTGCTTCCAAGACCGAAGAAAACCACGCTGAAAAGGGAGAGCATGCTTTTCTGTTTTACATGTTCATACTTACTTCAAATGTTCCCTTACAAGTTTAAAAAATAGCTCTACAAGGGCTGGGGCTGAGAAGTGTTAAGAGCCCTTGCTGCTCTTTCTGAAGACACAGGTCTAGTTCCTAGGACCCACATGGTAGCTGTTAATTGGTGTAACTCCAGCTCCTGTACACGAAACATCCATACACGTAAAACTATGTAACTCCAAAGAAACAAAACACCCATATACGTAAAACTATGTAACTCTATAGAAACGAACAAACAAACAAAAATCTAAGGGGGAAAATCCATTTTATTAACCTACTTTTGTTGTAGTTGTTTTGAGAGACAGTCTTGTGTAGCCGCCTGACCCAATTTTTTCACATAATTGAGGATGACCTTGACTTCCGAAGACTCAGCCTCTGAGTGTGTGTTTCCATGTTGACAAATTCCATGTTCACCAGCACTTTATTTACCCCTTTGGTCATTCGCTCCAGTTCATTCGCCAATTTTTATTATGATTCTAGATTCTAAGGACACAAATATTTTTTGCCCTCAACGAGTTTATAAGTTATTTGGGGCAAATCAACATTACACAAATAATGACCGTAGGACAGAAATGTTACATAAAGGGACAGTACACAATTACTGGGTGCAGAGAAATCTCCATCCATTGTCAAAAGCTTCGAGCAGCTGTTTGAATTCGACCTGGAGAGGAGAACTGGAGGCTCCTAACTGTAAGAAGGTAGAGGAGTGAGAAGCTATCCAGAAGCCGCAAATGGCTGTACAATGACAGAAGACAGAGTGGGGAAGGACTTGTGAGGATGGAGTCTGAAAATGTAGCAGGCGCTAAAGGGTAAAGGAGGGTTGGGATCTCTAAAGATGAAATGGAGGGTTCTCGTCAAGAAAGCATGTTACAGGACTTATGGAGCGTGAGCGCGCGTGTATGCACGCACACACACAGACACACACATACACACACACACACACACGAACTTTATATAAAGATTTCCTTTGCCTCTATGTAGATGATGTTCTTTTAAATAGTTCTTTATATATCTAGACTGTTCTCAATGCTGGGTTGTCTCTAGTATCAGTAATACAATAATGCTCTTATTATCGCTTAAGTGATTTTGGTTTCTGGTTTTGTGTGAGGTGGAAGGCACCTGTAGGCCTAGCTACTGAGGAGATTGAGATGGGATGATTGCTCAAATCCCAGGGTTCAGGGCCAGCATGGGCAACACAATGAAACCATGTCTCCTAAGAGAACTGTGTTTAGTTTTCCCTTCTTTGAAACTAAAAAGAGAAATGATAAGAATATTCAATATTTTCTGTAACATTTGATTGTTCACCAGAAGGAGAAGGCTAATTTTGTAATAACCCTAACTGATATGTACATGCATCTGTTTCTTAGACTTCTATTTGTATTTACTATGCAAAAATTGGTGTGTGAGATTATTTCCTGTTGTACTGTATATATATGCCTGTGTGTGTGTGTGTGTGTGTGTATGAGATAGACAGAGAGAGAGAGAGAGAGAGAGAGAGAGAGAGAGAGAGAGAGAGAGAGAGAGAGAGAGAGAATTCATGTGTGTTCAAGTGTACATGCATGTGGAAGCCAGAGGTCAACCTTGACTATCATTCTTCAGGTGCTGTCCAGCTTGGGGAGTTTTTGTTTTTTGTTTTAAACAAAGACTTTTACTGTCCTAGAATTTGCCACTAGGCTACACTGGCTAAGATTTATCTGTCTCCAGCTCACCAGCATGGGGATTAGAAGCACAAACTACCATGAACTTTTTTTAAAAATTAATTTTAAAATTTTATTTTCTTTTTTGACATCCTGACCAAAGCTTCCCTTCCCTCCCCCCTTCCCAGCCCATCCTCTCCTCCTTCACTCTTTCTCTTCAGACACAGGTGGGCATCCCATGGATATCAGCCAGCCATACTGTAGGCTATTTTACCCGGTGGATATCAGCCAGCCAGATCGTGGACTGTTGTACATGGGTTATGGGGATTTGAACTCAGGTCCTCATGCTTAAGTGGGAAGCACAATACCAACTGAGCTATTATTTCAGCCTTCCATTTTATGTCATAGTTACATTTTAGCTTGTCTTAGTTTCATTCTTACATAATCTGCCTTTCTAAGATTAGTTATCAAGTAGGGTCAGAGTACAGTAGTGTTTTCTGATCCATAGTGGATCTACTTCAAAACCTTCAGTAGATACCTGAAACTATGAATAATACCAAGTCCTGAATATGTATTCTATTTTTCTATATATATATACCTATGATAAGGTTTATTGTATAATATAGGTATGATGAAAGGTTACAGCTATAACAGTATACTCTAATGAGGTATGTGAAGGTGATGTCTCTCTTTCAGAATATCTTATCAACACCCTTGTAGTGGCTGGGTGTTTGAATCTGTGGAAAGTGAAATTGGGAATAGGAGGGGAGCACAGTATTGACATTGTAAATGTATGTCAGTCATTTACGTGCTTTGAGTGGGAAATTAGCCACTTTAGTTAAGTACTCTTTATTTTGTTACCTTCCTTGCATGATTTTTTTTTCTTGAATACAACTCATGTCATGAGCTCTATTATGCCCACCAAATCCTTTTGTTGAAGACTTCACTGCTGGTGTTTTCAGAATGTGACTGTATGTGGAGATGGGGTCTTTGAAGGGCTAATTAAATTCAGATGAGGTCCCAAAGGGGAAACCAAAGAACAGATTTGTTAGCTAGAAATATTGAATTGCTTGTCTTAAGCAAGTGATTATAGAGCTAAAGAAGCCAGTGCAAAGAACAATAGCAACAACATGAAGATAACAAGAGGTGAAAATTATAAAGAGGAACAAAAAGCTCTGGGACCTGCAAACTTTTTGAACTTAAGCTGCTGGCAGGAAAGTGTATTCATGAGGTCCAAGGGTTAGTCACCAACACCGTGCAAAAGCCCAGCAACTCAAAATGAAAAATCTAGAGGTCTTCATCAGCAGTTTTGAGTCATCAGAAGAAAAAAGAATCAACATATTTGAAGATAAGATCTTGGCAATTATTGAGTCTGAGGTGGGAAGACTCACCTTCCCCCCGGGCAAGTTTTTAATAACAAGAACATAATGAAATGAAAAATTCTATTTCTTCAATGTTAAAATTTCAAGAATCTAATTGCTGCTTCCCAAATAAGACCATGAAAATGGCCTGTTTTCCAACAGAGGGGACGGCAATATTTTTTTCAAGACAAGGTCTCACTGTGTAGCCCTGGTTGTCCTAGAACTCACTCTGTAGACCAGGCTGGCCTCCTACTCACAGAGATCTGCCTGCTTCTGCTTGGATTAAAGGCATGCAGCACTATGCCTGCAAAACCGTGAATTCTTGAGCAACAGGGCGGTGGTAGGGTGCTATCCCAGCATGCACTAGACCCTCTCTTATCCCCTCA